GTGACGCGCGCAGAACATCCATGCGGCAGGTGGGGCAGGTCTGCTGCCGCTGGAACCAGGAGCGCAGGCAGCTGGGGGCCAAGGCCAGGCAGAGGTCAGCGGGCTCCTGGACCTGCCTCCCGGGGCCTGTGCCCTGCTGTGCAGGCTCCCAGGGCCTCTCCCACCTGGTGTGGAAAATGTGGTTGCAGGGCAGTCTCTTGGCGCCAGTCACCATCTCTTCCCGGCAGATGATGCAGACGTTGTCCATCGCCTGGAGTTCCTCTGGGGTGGCATCTGGATACCTGGCCAGGGTGGCAGGGGACGTGTCAGGTCCACAGCTGGAGGCTGGGAGACCTAGCGCAGAGCTCGGGGGAGGAGCCGGGACAAGCCCACTTACAACGTGTTCATGTTGCGGATGGCTCGGCGGGACATGATGGCATCTGTCACAGCTTTCTTGAACTGTCTGAAAGGACAGTCAGTGAAAGCAGGGAGAGGGAGGGGAGAGACGAGGTCAGGAGAGTGGAAGCACAGGGCTGGACTTACCGCATGGCCAGGTACATGGGCCGGATGGCGAAGAGTGGGAAGGTGTGCACCTTGATCATGATGGTCATGAAGGCCATGTACAGCAGAACTTTGATGAAGCCTGGGGGGAGGGGATGCAGAGAGCAGCAGCAGGTCACAGGGCTGGCAGGCAGAGCAGGGACGCTGGTTCAGGTCAGGAGAGGCCTGGGCTCCTCTCACCTGTGAACAGCTCTGTGTAGAGCATATACACGGCCTTGTTGTCCCAGGGGTTCTCGCTCTGGAGGTCCACGGAGTGCAGCACATACTTGATGAAGATGGTAAGCACCATCGTCATCAGGATGGCGTACTGGAAGGAGAAGGGTGGGGGGACATAAACACGCAGCTTCGCCTTGCTGCGGCCATGCTCTGCTCCCCCCAGGCCTCTGCACAGCAGGGCGCAGTGGTACAAGCACAGGCAGACACAGTCGGGGTCCTCCGAGCTCCTCCACTCACTAGCTGTGACTTTCAGCAACTCGCTGAACCTCAGTTTGCTTGTCTAAAATGACAGATTTAACTGTTCCTTTGTAACAGTTTGGTCTTCCTGACTAAGAGATGCAGGTCAGGAGCTCAGCACAGGGCGACATGCAGTTAAGCACTCAACAGATATGAGCCGCTGTCATTGGACACACTCTCCCTCTGCCAGGGACACGCCTCCCCAGTTGTCCATCAAGCTAATCCCCTCCTGTCCATCTTCAGCAGCTCTGGCACCAGCCTCCAGGAAGCCTTCCCTGAGGCGAGGCCAGGACTCCTCTGTCCCAGCCTCTTTTTGTGCTCTCCCCCAGCGAGTGTGTGGAGGGCAGAGGCCGCGTCTCATCACCGATCCCTAGTGACCAGCACAGGACTGGCCACATAGCAGGCACTCAGGAGGGGCTGGTTGGGTGGCTCAAGGCACGTGCAGCGCCACCTCAGGCCTGTCCCCGGCCTCCCCAGCCCGTTTTACCTCAAAGCCAAACACCAGCTGCACAGAAGCCCCGCGGGTCAGGATGCTGTGATAGGCATGGCTGACGAAGAGGAAGTCCAGGACACCCAGGAGGAGCATAAGGGCTGTGGGACCCCAAATGGGGGCGTGGTGGAGTCAGCACAGGGACTGACAGCCACTTTCTGCTCCAGGACGGCCCCGCCCTCAAGCCCACCATGGCCCCAGCCATCTAGCCAGGTGGACGCCCTTCACTGAACCCAGCCCTCTGGGAACTCCAATCGTGCCCCAGGGGAGGGAGGGCCATGGGGCTGCCCAAGCTCCAGGTGAGGGGGCAAAGAGCCAGGGCCCCAGCAGTTGAGAAGCCCTGGAGTGGAACAGGACAGAGACGATGCAAATTAACTTCCTAAATTATCTTTCCTGCACAGCTGTGGGTCGAGGGGCAGCCCATGCTCTGGGGCACAGGTCCACGCTAGCCACTGTTCATGCTCAGGCCTCCATGGCGGCGCCTCTCCCTGCAGCTCCCTCCCCTCCTCTCCCACGGGTCTCACTCACAGACAATGCGGCAGTGAAAGAGCCAGGAGATGTTGGGGCTGCGTTCCATCTGAGGCAGAGCAGAGAAGGGGTGGTCAGGAAGGCTGGGGCTCACCCCGCACCCTCAACCCAGCCCCCCCCTGCTCCGCAAGCCTGCCCACCGGCCACTCCCCGGCTTCCACTTGCTTCCCCAACCGGACTTACAAAATCCACACGGTCCTCAGCCAGCCAGTGGAAACATTTGAGGAAGAGGAGAAGAGTAAAGAGGGCAACAAAGCGGGGGCTAAAGTCGTCCCGGAAAACGGTGAAGGCCAGGCAAGTCTCAGTGACGGCGTACCAGGAACGCTCCAGAAGGTGCTGGGGGCCGGGCAGGGGAGAATGTGGAACCCAGACGCTCTTTCCCAATGCCCTGCCCTCACCTTTGGCACTGCCCACAACTCACCTCCATCTCTGCTGCCCTCAGCTGCCCGAAGAACACCTTGCCCATCACCTTGCCCAGGAGAAAGACAAGGACAAAGGCCTGGATGTACAGGACCTAGGGGTAGGAGAGGTGACGGTTTGAGGTCACTTTCTGCTTTCCTCCGCCTGGGCATATCATTCAGGAACCTCCCACGTCCTCATCAGTTTATTCAAAGTAAGGCAGCTGCTGGCTACTTCTTCTCTACTTACCTGGACTCTAGCCCCGCCCCTGTCCCGGGCAGACGCCTCCTTCCCTCCCAGGGCGTGCCTCCCTCCCTGCGCCCCGAACTCACTGCCATGCTGGGGCTGGACTTGGTCAGGTACACCACGGTGGGGTAGAACTGGTGCTTGAGGTAGTAGGCGTGAGCCACCACGGCCCCGGTCAGCGCCAGGCTGGCCGCCATCATCACGGCGGTGCGGAACATTGCCCTGGCCCGGAGACCTACGAGGGGAAAGAAGGGAGTGCATGAGATGCTTGTGCAGTGCGAACCTAGCGCGGTGCCTGGCCCAGCGGCCATAGACAGAAGCGGGTGGCGCGGGGGGAACCGCATTTCGCGCTCATGGTCATCAGATCAAGATCAAGTTTGGTCGTTTGGCCAAACGGAGACTCAAGGGGTTAAGCGATCACATTGACGCAAGGCCTGGAACCTGGGTCAGTCGTGTTTCAAATCTAGGGCTCTTTCCACGCCCCCTGCCAAGCCGCCTCCTCTAGGGAGGCATAAGAGGACAAGCGGCAGCGTCGGCA